GCAACTCAGATACACACACGTTCAAAATAACTGGTGTAGGTTCATGCACACCTATCACCAGTTTAAGCCTATACATGATACACGCACCAAATTTAGACGGAATCAGTTACCAGTTACCAACACCTACACATTCAACACACACACGTGGATTACTAATTTATATACACACACACACACACACACACACACACACACACACACACAATGATATCTATATATGTATATTAACTAATTTACACACATACCACCCACCTATACATACATACAAGTGAGTTCCTAAGTTGGGTATTGTGATATGTATGTATGTGCTTGGTGTATTTGGGATACCTGGGTAAAGGTTAAGGTAAGAAAGTAGAAGTGTAGGGAGTGAAAGTTGCTGGAAATGAAATTCACCGGAACCGGGATTAGAACCAGTAGACTAGAGGGACCTGGGCTGAAGAACTGAGGCTCGGGGGTAACTTTAGGTTAATTGATCTTAATTGATTAAATTTGATAATGCCCAAAGCCTACGGAACAGGGGAGCGATGTCGGCAGAGGCTGGGACTGGAGCCAGAGCTACAAGGGAGCTGAAAAAGTAGGTGGGGAGAGGGAAAATGAGACTAAGGAAAAGTATGGGTGTTAAAGAGGGGCTCTGGATGTGGGGAGCCAGAAGATGGCTCCGGAGCAGCTAGAGAAGTTGCAGGGAGCGCAGCTGGTGCTGGGAGCTGGAGAAAACTACAGGACAGCTATAAGGTGCTGGGAAGTTGCAAGGGGGTGGGGTAAGCCTGAAAACAGAGAGACGGACATCAGAAAATCACAGGAAAAGCAACGGGAGAGACTGAAAGGTGGCAGAGGGCAGCGGGAAAGTGGAGAAAGGCAGTAGGAATTGAGAGGAGATTGGGAAACTAGTGGAGAGGGGTGGGGGCTAGAGCTGAGACAGAGAGAGAGAATGAGGCTGGAATTTAAGATAAGGAAAGGACTAGGATTTAGTAAAACATGACCCAGCTCGGGGTTGCAAATGACAGTGGTTTTATTGAACAGGGGAGATGGTGACACAATGTCATATTGGTTCCCTTGCACCCCCCTTCCTCCCAACACGCACACAATGGCAGCAGGGGTTAGACAGGCTTGGTGCAGGGGCTGAAGTCCACTGAAGTCCAGGAGGGGAGAGAGTCCAAATTGTAGGAGGAGGTTTGCAGGTAATATCTACCTATCCAGGCTGGAAAGGGGTCCTTGTGCAGTAGGTGTTGTTCAGAGGGGGGTCGCTGGCAGGGCCTCTGGGTGGATAGGTGGTGTGGCACTATCCAGACGTCTCACTGGGTCTGTCTTCACTGCCCCTTTTTATAGGGGAAGACTTTGTGTGACCCTAGTGACAGAAGGCATGCCCAGGCAAGGGTCAGGCCCTGGTGTACTGAGCACATGTGCTCCATGCAGGGATGTGCAGTTGTGGGTGTCTGTGGTGGTGAGAGTTGCTGGTTCTGCAGGGTCTTTTGTCTTTCAGTGCTGGGTTCTTGTTTGTGTTCCTGGGTGAGGTCCATGGTTCCTGGATGAATCAATGTGAGGTGATGGCCCAGTCATTATAGGCCATTCAGTAGAGGCCTGCTACCATTGTATTTCAATCATTCCCAATCGCACTCATTTGTGGGGGAACCAATTTACATGGGAGGGATATGTGGCTCATCCAGTTGCGACACAGGGGATGCCCAGGCAGAGGACACAAGATGGAGACTTGACATATGAAATGGAAACTTGACATGACTTTGGTTCATTTACAAACACAGGCCTAAACCAGACAATATCCATATAAAACAATAAAAATCAATACAAAAATGATAATAATACAATATACAACAGTCAAAATCAATACAAACCTAATAATTATACAGTATAAAACAGTGGATATCCAAAACCAAAAACTTGCTACCAAAATAAAAATGTTTAAAGCTTATCCTAAGTTTGAGCTCACTTATACTTATCTGTAGGGAATAGAGACGGAGAGAAAAAGTCAGAAATGGCTGGGAAAGGGGAGGGAATGCATTTTAAAATAAATTAAAAAAAAAAAAAAGAAAAATTGGGGGTTTTGCTACAAAAGAACTGGGTGACCTGGAGGACTCAAGTAACAGAAGCTAGTTAAAATGTAATAGTGCAAAGTTCCATGTCATCCACTTGGGGGCTAATAACAAGAATTTTCTCTTATAAGCTTGGGCCTTATTAGGAAATGAACTTGGGTAAAACACACAAGGTTATTACTCAGTTACAGGCTGGCTATTACCCATCAATGTGATGTGGCCACGAGAAAGCAAATGCAACCCTAGGAAACATCAGGCAATTTATTTCCAGCAGACATGGATATATTAATACCCTTGTTCAAGTTGCTATTGGGATCTTGTTGGGATATTGGAACTCTTCTTATCACCCATGTTAAAAAAAAAAGATGAATTTCAACTGGAACAGGTACAGAGATGGGTGGTCAGGAGACAGGAAAGCCATCATGATGAGATAAAAAGAGGTTGGCTTGTTTTGCCTAGCAAAATGAAAGGTGAGAGGAGATATGATTGCTGTCTAGAAATATGTTGGAGGAGTTGGGAAAGGGTTTGGGCATCTTGGAGAGAGAGGAGCTGTATAAGCTAAAGACCAGTATTGGAACAAGAACAAAAGTATAAACTTTTATAGATTTTTAGGCTGGAAATTAGAAGAAGGTTTCTGCCCATTAAGCTTCTAGAGCAGCTGCTAAATTGAGGTAGTGGGAGCAAAAATCCTTGCTAAATTGGATTATATGACATGGTTGCTGCGGCAACAGGAACCTAGACACTCAGACCCTAGAGGTTCCTTAGAGTCCTTTGTTCTATATTTGTATCACGTTTCTCCAAAAAGGCTACTGTAAATTATCTTAATTTTTTAAAGAGTTTTTAAAGAAACTACTGGGAGGTGGATGTGGAAAAGCCATCTTAACCAGCTAAATATGTATAGCATAGACAGAACATCCTGTCTTGTAGAACACCTTTCTGCTGTACCTTAAAACTAAAAAATAAAAGGAGCTGTTGGAACTTGCTTTCAGATTTTACTAGGGTCAGTAGGAATCGTAAAAGCAGTGCATCTCTGTATGAACAATTAGAATTTGTCCGAAATTTAATGTGCTAGAATAAAATATGTAGAGTAAGGAAAACTTCATATGTCAGTGCAGGAACCAAACTGCACTGAAACGTTTAGGTTTTTGGGGGACAGATAAAAACTCTGATGGCCATCTTGTATATGTATAGTGGCACTTCATTTTAATAGTGGATTTTGGGTTTTTTAATCGGAGAATTTGTGATATTTTTTTCTTTAAACAGAGAAAACCAGGATCCCTGCTTTATGATTCAAATGTGCTCAGTACAGAAATGTCCCATTTAAGTAACAGATATGGTTGCAGAACTCTGAAATTTAATTTTTTTTTAAAAATGTGTAACTACAGATTTAGCAGCCAGCCTTTGGGTACTGAGATTCTGCAAACGTTGCCAGTTGTATAAAAATATATTTCATCTTACACCCATTATTTAAGAACAAATTAATTCAATCTGAAGGCTGTTGTAAGTCAGTGTAGCTCTTTTGTGGGATGCTGAAAACAAAAACAAAAAAAAAATAAATCAAAAAAAAGGAGAAAAAAAAAAAGGCACTGTTTTTAAAGAGGAGTTTTCATGACTGTAACATTCCAGCTGTGGCTTTGGAAGCTGTAGGTTTCCCAAGACATCGTATACAAAGATGTTAGGTATATTAATGAGTTTAAAAAAAACACTGAAGCTACCTTCAAGCAAGCAAACCTTTATTCAGCAAACTTTCTATTAGCTTTCCTCTGGAACTTTCGTGGTAACTCTGGAATGCCGGGTCAAACAACAGCCTAGTCATAGAGTATTCCCTGGTGGCTTTGAAGCATTATGGCAGGCCGTCTAGGCTAATCATTTCAAGCGGCCCATGGAAAACCACTTTCTGGTTAAGTCTGCATCATACTGTTCCACCAATGGAAAAAATTGAACACAAGGAGGGTGTGTAGCTTGCAGACAAAAATACATCCAGCATAGCACAGGATCTGTTTTTAGCTCATAACGGCTGAACATTTTGAAGTGTTAGACACAGTTTCCTGGCTTACCAGGGACAGAAAGAAAGTGAGAGTCTGTGTATAGGCTACAAAGTTTTGTGAAATGTTAGGGAAAACGGGCTGAAGCAGGGGCTTTGGTTAAGGTAAGTCTGGTGAGCAGCAAAAGCTTGGGGGGAAGGGGGAAGGGAGCTGTCAGTCAGACTCAAGAATAATAATGATAATTAAAAAAAATAGAGGAAGTTAAAAGAACTTTGAAAGTTATAGGCACAATGAACAGTTTCTGTGTCTACTACTTTGTACTGTGCTTTTTCCCCCACAAAACTCTTATCAGAGGTTTGTTAAACTTAGTTGTTTTAACTGCTGAATTAGCCTTGCCAAAATTATCTTACGGCTCAATTGTAGTAGCTATCTATATTTATGAAGTCTGTAGATCATATATTTTAGCAGTTTTATGCAGTCAATAATATTAAAGAAACTTCCCTAATCTGTAGTAATTAATATACAGGCAAGCTACTTCATTTCTTCCTTGAATTTGGTCTATTTGGTCCCATAACTTAAGCAACTTACAATAAACATGTATCATTAACTTGTCAGTAGTTATCTTTCTTAGTGCTTTAAGTATTTTTAAATTGTTAGACCAAAAGTGGCTTTTATAAGTTTTAATGTTATTGAATTGGATAACTGCAACGTGGAGGTTCTCCTCATTTGAGAGATGGAGTGAGGGGGGCTTCTTAACAGGTTTTGTTATTTTGAAACTCTTCCCACTTGGGATTTGAATAATTTACCGAGTAAAAGAACCATTAAAAGGCTAATTCAGTTGTCCAGAAAAGGAAGATAAATCTGCAAAGAAAGCAGAGAAAGAGGAAGCAGCTTATTTTAAAGAAAATGATTAATTGTTCTTGTGGTGCAGCAAGAGTTTGCCTATGCATTACTGCATTCTGTTGATGTCATGGTGTTACTTTTGCATATTGATAATTTCATACGTGACTCTGGAGATCATGTGTCTTTTCCCCTTGGAGTCGGTGATTTCTTCAAACTGTAATATGTAGCAAATTACCAGGCTGAAGCTAGGGATGGAAAGATCTTGTTTCTGGTGTCTCTTAATGAGACACAGTATGCATAGATCTCTTCGAGAGGAGAGAGAGAGAGTATTGCAGCACAGCAACTGGGAGGGTATTCTGCAACTGCTAGGATACTCAAGTGAACCTTTTAATGGGGCCCTTGGGTCGTGTCCTGCCAGTGTTCTTTCCTTTTCTCTGACAGTAACGCTCTGATGCGATGGTGTTACTGAAAAGAAAGCCTGAAACTGTATTTGTGCTGCAGGGTTCTTGGAATGCTAAAGCCCTGCTCTGTTTTTAATTTTCTGACAGACTGTCTCAAGTTTGATTGCAGAGACCAACTCCCAGATTCTCTGTCCTCAAATAGCTTTGGGCCAAAGGTGTAAGTTTGCTTTGGAATTGACACCTTCAAGTGTCTGTCCATGGGCAAACTGAACAGCAGAAAAGTGTGCCAAATGTAGCATTTTTGGGGAGGGAAGGGGTGCTGGTGTAAATAGGGTTAGATGTCTGATCAAGAGCCTGCATTGGACCTGTGGTGTGTTTTTTCTGCCAAATGTAGCCCTGCTTGGGTTGGGCCCATGGGCAGCAGAAGGCCAGGGCTAATGGGGTGTAGCCCCCACAAACTAATTTTGCGGCGGGTAGTAACAGGAGCACCACCCCCACGCCCTGCCACCTCAGTGCCATGCCCAGCACCGCCGCTGTGTACAGCACCATCACTTTCCAGCCCCACAACGGCCCTGCAGGGAAGAGGGAGACGGGTCAGTCCCCCCCCCCCCCCCCCCCC